TTTTTTTTTTTTTTTTTTGAGACGGAGTTTTGCTCTTGATACCCAGGCTGGAGTGCAATGGCGCGATCTCGGCTCACCGCAACCTCTGCCTCCTGGGTTCAGGCAATTCTCCTGCCTCAGCCTCCTGAGTAGCTGGGATTACAGGCACGCGCCACCATGCCCAGCTAATGTTTTGTATTTTTAGTAGAGACGGGGTTTCACCATGTTGACCAGGATGGTCTCGATCTCTTGACCTCGTGATCCACCCGCCTCGGCCTCCCAAAGTGCTGGGATTACAGGCTTGAGCCACCGTGCCCGGCCCGAAAAATATTTTTTAAAAGTCATATAGATAGAAAAATTTGTCAAGATTTGAGAACCTGCATAATATCAAATTAGTTTAGAATTACAGCATTTTGTAGCAGGAAAGATCCTGAACAATCTGGTTCAATTGCTTCTTTTTACAGAAGAGTAATCTGAAGTCTAATGAGTAAGTAACCTGCTGAAGTTCACTTAGCAAATTATTGGTGGAGATAAAACTAAAAAATAGAGTTTCTGATACTCATTCTGCAGACTTTTTAAACCTTTTTGTCTTGTATAAAGTTTTAGCCATTATACTATTGTATATTAGCTTCTGCCTTGCCTATTTATTTAACCTTATAACAATTAAGATAAGACTTCTTGTTTTGTTTTTTTTTTGCTTTCTATTGGGGGGTTTAGGGGTGGGATTGGATTTGTGGAGGAACTTACCTTGATTTGGGGGACAGATGTGGAAGTCATCATTGCATGTTTAGAGTTTGGAGATGATCCATATGATTGTAATGCTTGGAGGTAAATTAAAATCTTACGAAAGCAACACATGTTATAATGAAGAAATCAAGCATAATAAAAACCATAATAATAAGGCAAATTCTCAAGTAGTGTTTCCTCCTCTACCTCTCATCCTTGTACTCCCCAAAGTCACCTAGGATTCATTTTGTGGGAGAATGTAATAGGAGAAAAAACTTGAAAAGTTAAGTGTATTAGTTCATTTTCACACTGCTGATAAAGACATACATGAGACTGGGAAGAAAAAGAGGTTTGATGAAATTACAGTCCCACATGGCTGGGGAGGCTGGGAGGTCTTGGGAGAAGGCAGGGAGGAGCAAGTCACGTCTTATGTGGGTAGTGGCCAGCAAAAAGAGAGAGGGCTTGTGCAGGGAAACTTCCGTTTTTAAAACCATTCAATCTTGTGACACTTATTCACTATCATGAGAACAGCATGGAAAAGACGTGCCCCTATGATTCAGTTACCTCCTACCGGGTCCTTCCTGTACTGCATGGGCATTATGGGAATTATAAGATGAGATTTGGGTGGAGGCACAGAGCCAAACTATATCAGTAAGTTTGGGGTTAGATTTGGAAGGCCTAAAGTGTGCAGTGTGGGCGTTTTGGAATTTTTTCTTTGGGCATTGTATACTGTCAGAAATGTTGAAAGGAGCATATGGCATAACCAAAGGTGTATTTTGTGAAAAAAATACAAGCAATAATTATAATTGATTGGAAGTAGAAATACCCATAGAAGCAGTCTGTTGAGTTAATATAGGCAGACAGATGGTATAAGTCCAAATGTGGGCCAGTAGTGTGGTTTTTCATATAAATCTCAGTCCTCAATTCCATTTCGTTTTCAGCATTAAATCTCTGCCTTTATTATATAGACCACTGTAACTTACTTATATATCAATGTATGTGTATATTTATTTGTTGCAGAGTTAAAGGTCCTGAAGATACACATCAATTTTTCTTTGGATCAACCCAAAGGAGGTCTTCATTTTGTGGTACCCAGTGTAGAGGGAAGTATGGCAGAGAGAGGTGCTCATGTTTTCTCTTGTGGGTATCAAAATTCTACAAGGTAGATTACAGATTCTTAAATATTTCAATTAATTTTTAAATTGCATTTTTTATATATAAGCAATACATAATTTAGTGTAAAACAAGAAATACTGGGTTTTATTTCCTCCCAAATTTAGACTTCTTTCAGATTACTTTCTGTTGTCATTTCTTCTCAATTTCTTTTCCTTTTCTTTTTTTTTTTCCTTTTTTTTTTTTTTTTTGAGACAGTCTTGCACTGTCACCTTTGTTGGAGTGCAGTGGTGCTGCCTCTGCTTGCTGCAATGTCTGCCTCCTGTGTTCAAGTGATTCTCATGCCTCAGCCTCCCAAGTAGCTGGGATTATAGGCATTCACCACTATATCTGCCTAATTTTTTGTATTTTTAGTGGAGACAGGGTTTCACATGTTGGCCAGGCTGGTCTTTATCTCCTGACCTCAAGTGATCCGCCCACCTCGGCCTCCCAAAGTGCTGGGATTACAGGCATGAGCCACCAAGCCTGGCCACCCCTCTCAGTCTTACAGCTCCCTTCATCTCTCTCATTTTCATACCTACTGTTATAAAATAATCATCTCACTTGATTTTCCTTTTTGAAAAACTTTATATTGTAGTAAAATATACATAGAGAAAATTGTACAAAGTATAAAGCTCGATGAATTTTCATAAGTGAACAAGCCCACGTAATTCACACTTAGAGACAAAGAATATTGCAAGCATCACAGAGACCTCCTTTCACCTGCTTTCATTCTCTACTTCCCCACTCCACATTCTGCAACTGAACTTAGCTAATTTTTTTTTTTAAAACAGTCTCACTCTGTTGGCCAGGCTGGAGTGCAGTGGTACAGTCTTGGCTCACTGCAACTCCCACCTCCTGGATTTAAGTGATTCTCCTGCCTAGCCTCCTGAGTAGTTGGGTCTATAGGTGTGTGCCACCGCACTTGGCTAATTACATATTTTTAGTCGAGATGGGGTTTCACCATGTCTTTAGTAGAGACAGCCTGTCGCCCAGGCTGGAGTGCAGTGGCACAATCTTGGCTCACTACAACTTCCACCTTGCAGGTTCAAGTGATCCTCCTGCTTCAGCCTCCCGAGTAGCTGGGATTGCAGGCACACGCCACCATGCCTGATTAATTTTTGTATTTTTAGTAGAGACAGGGTTTGATCATGTTGCCCAGGCTGGTTTCAAACTCCTGACCTCAGGTGATCCACTTGCCTTGGCCCCCTAAAGTGCTGGGATTACAATGTGAGCCACTGCACCCGACCTCTCCTCAGATTATTATAATAACTCCTCCAAACCAGAGGTAATGTCTTATACACTTTTATGCCTCAATACTGAGTACTTACCCTGTCACATAACACCTGAATTGATGAAAACTGACTATAAATTTTATATCTTTTACCAGCACTCATTTGAATTTATACAATGTGTTACATACTCCAAAAAAGCAGTTTTATAATTTAATGGAATAAATTCTGCATATTATTTTTATAAAACTTTTTACGGTAAGTCTTTTTTAGTTTCTGAAAATAAATGCGACATAAAAACTGACTAATGTGACTAATGTGCATATACAAGTTAAAATTATTTTTTAAGACATTGGAAACTAAGAATTGCTTAACTTTTTTTAGGGTTTGAACTGGTGGTACTGTATAATATATATTTTTAATGTTGCCAAATAGTGTTTGGAAACAGATTTTATTTTATCAGATTTTTTGCAGGTTGTATAGTAAAAAAGCTTCAGTAGCCAAAAAGCTGAAGTTTTTTTTTTGTTGTTCATTTTCTAGAAATGCTGAAATAACTTGCATGTGGGGTAAACAATGTAGAGGACATTCTCATTGCATTTTCTATTCTGTCAATGTTTTTTCTAGATTTTGGTTCCCTTGTGTTGATTCATACTCTGAATTGTGTACATGGAAATTAGAATTTACGGTAGATGCTGCAATGGTTGCTGTTTCTAATGGAGATTTGGTGGAGACAGTGTATACCCATGATATGAGGAAGAAAACTTTCCATTATATGCTTACCATTCCTACAGCAGCATCAAATATCTCCTTGGCCATTGGACCATTTGAAATACTTGTAGATCCATACATGCATGAGGTAAGTCAGAGCTCTCCCCTCTTTCTTTCCTCCTGCCCTTTTACTGCTTTTAAAAAGATGGATGTTAATGAAATACTAAGTCTTCACTCTTAATAACTCCTCTAACCAGAGATAATGTCTTACACAATTTTATGTCTCAATACTAAAAAGATAGCTGTTTAACTGTCAAGAATATGACTAGAGAGAAGATATTTCCTTATCTGATAGGTTTAATGATGTGAATTACTGAATGAATTTCTTTCAAAATGTTGTGTTTAAATTTTAGATTATTTTCCAACAGGGGGCTTAGCTTTCAAAAACGCTTCAGTGTATCTTGATTTAGAGTATAGGTTGATTTCTGTAATTAATTCTGTTCATTACTAATGTCATCTCTTTGTTTAGCATGTTTTTGAATGTTATGGTTTCATCTCTGGAATCTAAAATATTGTAAATTGAAAATTAAAGAGCAAGATTTATTCTTACTTCAACATATACAGAGGAAAATAGACAGAGTTAGAAATCTGGTTAGCAAACTCATGAAGACTAGTTTCTCCCCGGCACATATCTTATTACAATTCATTTATCAGTTGACAGGCCAAATAGTAATTTTAGGCCTTCCCAAGCATGAGACTTATGCTGAGTAGAAAATGGTTTATTAGTTGTTAACTCTCTTCCTTAGTCTTCAACTGAAGTTTTTTTAAAAAATACATACACATAATTTGACTTGTATATCTCAACAGCATTTCTTCTAGTCACGTGAAGAATAATTGAGGGCAACAGGCTTTTGGTGAGCTCCTCAGTTTGCCATTTATATTTGCTTGGCTGAAATTCACAGGATTTGTAAAATCACTCATGGAAAAGATTCAGGATATTTTGTGATGGTTTTGCTTATGTTGTCTTGACAATGACTCTTTTTAAAGGTTTGTGCACTGATAAAATTGGCAGTAAACTTTATTGTCTTTGGTAAATGATCAATTTTAAAATCAATGTTTGATCAGTACCTATTTTGTATTTGAGAAGATTTTTCTTTCTACTCTGAGCTATTGAATAGGAACAAGACAAATGACAGTCAAGAATTATTTCTCCTGACTTTAGTCTTTCTCTGTGTCAAATACATGAGTTGTTACCTGCATTAGCAGTAAATTTGCTGTCATGTAGGTTTGTCTAAAAACGAATCTTTTTTTTGATGAATAGTATTTTTTATTTACGTACAAAGGGAGTGTTAATCATGATACAGTTTTGGGCTCTGATCATTAATAATGCATAGATGCTTTTCGCCACTCTTATGGTAGCCTCTAATCTATTCTTTTTAAATGTTATTAGAAGAATAATTTTGATGATACACTAAAAACTTCCCTTGTTTTTGTAATTCTGCAGTAATTAGAAATCTTAAGCATGGCTTTCAAGATCTTCTATAATTTGACCCTAATATATGTTACATTCAAAATAGTTTACTTATATTTCTTCGATCATACCTGTTTTCTTCCCATCTTTGACTCTGGGATGTTCTGTTTTCCTATACTAAAAGTTTCCTATCAAACTTCTGTTGAACTCAAAAAGATTACCATACCTTCACACTCCTGCATGAAACCTTACAAGGTTGTTCTAGTCAGTGATCTGTGTCATTGTTGATGGTATTCACTTGACACAGATCATAATAAGAGATAGCATATGATATTTGTGTGACCAAAGTGAGATGTAGCCTAATAAAAAAAAACCAGAGTTACTATTTCTATTGTGGGCATTTTTTTTTTTTTAATCTCCTAACTACCATTAAGCTTTTCTGCAGTTTTTGATATGTAATTGAAATATTAGAGGGGGACTACAGTAATTATTTTTTATATGCAGGTAATATGATTAACATTACAGTAAGATAGTATTAACATGCATTATTCACTAGGTTCGATATTTATGAATAAGAGGTAGGTTTATAATAAGCCTTTGAAATTTAAATCTTTCTTGTTATGTGTACATTTGAGAATAAATTTTAATTGAATTTGGAACCAGAGTTATATTTTAGTAGGTCTAAGCCTTCCACAGACTTATAATCCACCATGAATTTAATTTTTAAGTACAATGAATATTTTATGAATGTGATCAGTAAAAGTAATCACTAATTTCACAACATTTTCTTTCAGCATCTTGAAATAATTAAAGAATAAATTTTTGAGAACATTTATTTATAATTGAGATATTTAGGAAATTTACAATATTAAAGTCAACTCTGATTTAGACGATCCTCCTTGCTTCTTCTTTTCAGGTTACTCATTTTTGTTTACCCCAACTTCTTCCATTGCTTAAACATACCACATCATACCTTCATGAAGTCTTTGAATTTTATGAAGAAATTCTTACATGTCGATACCCATATTCCTGTTTTAAGACTGTATTCATCGATGAGGCTTATGTTGAAGTGGCTGCTTATGCTTCCATGAGCATTTTTAGGTTGGTATCTCTTCAGATTTGAAATGCCTAAATTAAGGTAATGATATGAAGGAAAGTTACTGATTTTGTGGTCAATTTTAAGAGAAGTATTGAACTTTTCTCCAATTTAGATTTGGTTGGCTTTATAGAAAATTTGGTTGGTTTTTAAAATTTTAAAATGTAGAAAAACATGAAGACAAAAATTTTAAGATAACTCAAAAGCGTCATTATCATCCAGAATTAACTAAAATTAGTATTTTCCCTGTTTTAGTCTTGTTTTCATAAATTGTTAAAAAATTATACAAATCGTTTGATTAACTAGTATGAATTTTTTTTCTTACACTATTTAAAAATTTACTGATATTGTCAGAAATTGTCAGAAATTTACTGATATCATCAGTGGAAAACATGCTCCTTGCTTTAAGCAAAAGTTACTCATGATGAATTTTAGCTAAATTTTGAAAAGATTAGAAAGCCCTTTGGGAGAATTTTTTTTTTTTTCTATTTTGTATCTAACTTCTATTATTTTAAAAGTGGACTTATTTTATTTTCACTGAGTAAGTATTTATTTCTTGGTTATAATGTGCTTTCTTTTTTAAATTCTAGCACAAATCTTTTACACAGCGCCATGATTATAGATGAGACACCTTTGACTAGAAGGTGTTTAGCCCAGTCCTTGGCCCAGCAGTTTTTTGGATGTTTCATATCAAGAATGTCTTGGTGAGTAACCTGAAATTTCATACTACTGAGAAAAGAATCAACTCTATTTTCTTCTCTTTTCGTGCATTTAAGCTGACCTTTGCCCTAATTGCAGATAGCTAATTTAAAAGACACTATTTTATACGTATTTAAAGAAAAATGATTATTTTAAGATTCATGCTAACTTTTTGTCCATGAAATTAATATAATCACTTCTTCAGTTTATAAGGTAAGATTTTGGTAAAACAATCTCTTAAAGAACTGAATGAGGCCAGGCGCTGTGGCTCACACCTGTAATCCTAGCACTTTGGGAGGCCAAGGTGGGTGGATCACCTGAGGTCAGGAGTTCAAGACCAGCCTGGCCATCATGGTGAAACCCCATCAAGAACTGAATGAATACTGTAAATAAAAGAACTTAAATGTACAGAAAACCGCAGTTAGAATTTTAATGTTAATGTTCAAAGCAATTGGAAATACCTTAATAGTTATTAAGAGGAGCAAAATAGTGCTCCTCTGCAGTAGCAATAATTATTTAGGGATTTGCCTACTAGTGCTCAGCTTTGTACCAGTTTGTTGAAAGAAATGAAAGGTATAAATGTTTTTTCTTTTCTGTTTTATTAACACAAGATAATTTTGGAAAAAACACAAAAATTAAGATTATAAATTATAGTTGTGAACATTCTACACTAGATACAGTATGTAAATCTTGGTTTTCTTTTTTTGCTTGCTGGAGGGGAAGAGGGCAGAGGCTAAAGATAGATCTCTTATTTATAATTTTCCTAAAGCTACTCATAGAAGTTTGATTAAAGAATAGTGCTTGGAACATAGTAGGCAAAATATTATGGATGGATGGATGGGTGAATGGATGGGTGGGTGGATGGATGGGTGGGTGGATGGATGGGTAGATGGATAGATTGAATATACAAATGAATAAATGAATGAGTGATGTTAATTGTGATTTTTTTTTCCTAGAGAAACCAAAAAGAAATGAATGAAGCAATTAAACTTTAGGTTTTAGAAAGTCATTGGTATTGGCATAATGCATGGGATAGGCAATAATAGCATGTAGACTTTTAGAATTGAACAGTATAGTCCTGGCTATGAGCACGTATATCCTTAGAGACAGAGACATTAAGAACAGAGTTGGGCAGGAGGGAAGCAGCACTGTCAGAGTAGAGCATGTACTCTGGTAATTTATACCTGACACAAGACTGTAAAGCAGTCTCATGCTTAAAGGTAAAGGCAGGTATGAATATGGTATAATGAATGAGCAAGTAGAACTCAGCCAAAGGAAGTTGGGAAACCTAGTGATTTGTTAATAATTTTCATTTTCTTTGTGAGGGCAGAGAAATACACACTACACTTATTCCGGCATCCTCTTTGACATTATCTGAGGCGTTTTTATGATTAAAAGTAACTTATACTTTCACTTTTTGCTTAGGTCTGATGAATGGGTGCTGAAGGGAATTTCAGGCTACATCTATGGACTTTGGATGAAAAAAACTTTTGGTGTTAATGAGTACCGCCACTGGATTAAAGAGGTAATAACAGATCCCTTACCCACTTACACATCAGTAAGACTTTAGTGTTCTCCTGATTTCCAAGTCTCATGTCCTCCATTTTTTTGTTTTATGGTTTTTTTTTTTGAGATGGAGTCTCGCTTTGTTGCCCAGGCTGGAGTACAGTGGCATGATCTCGGCTCACTGCAGCCTCCCCTTCCTGGGTTCCAGGGTTCTCCTGCCTCAGCCTCCAGAGTAGCTGGGACTATAGGCCTGTGCCACCATGCCCAGCTATTTTTTTTTATTATTTAGTAGAGACAGGACTTCACCATGTTGGCCAGGCTGGTCTCAAACTCCTGACCTCAGGTGATCCACCCACCTCAGCCTCCCAAAGTGCTGGAATTACAGCCATGAACCACCATGCCCAGCCCCTCCGTTTTTAATGATTGTAAAATACTTTTAAAATACTACTTGAAAATCCCTAATTTTTCCCAGCAAAGTGGGAATCAATATACTGAGAAAGACTAATGGTCTATTTAATCTAATCTCCATTGTCAGCATTGGCCCCTAAAGACTTTTTTCCCCCTAAGAAAGAGAATATTTAAGTTCCTTAAACATGAGATGGGTCATTAGGTATGTCCCAGCTCCTTATAGTATTCATTTATAACTGTGCTTCCTAAATTTGTTTAGCTTTGTGACCTTAATCTTTCCATGTCTCATCTGTATAAGGAGTGCAGTAGTAGTGTCTGCCCATGGGCAGTGATGGTTAGACATTATACATGTAATGTGCATGATGCTTTGCACATATTAACTGCTTATTATATTCTGGTTAGGCCTTGAATGCATTTATGTTGTCATTGTCATGTCTTTTTGTTTGTTTGTTTGTTTTTTTACAATTTATAGATTTGACCAAAAAAAAAAAACACCATTGTTGTATCTTACTGAGCACATTCTGGTCATATATATGACCATTTTAATCATATCATGCTTAGTCTTCATTCTCAGGTGGAAAAATTGCAGCCTTTAATATCTTCATTAAACAAACTTTATTATCTTCCCCTTATTCTCATTTTACATATTATCATCACCCAAGAATAAACTCAAGTAAGCCAAAAAGTTAATTTTTGAAGATTTTAACTACAAACATATTCATTCGTATTTCTACATCTAGAACTGGAGGAGTCTGTTCATCATTTCAGAAACTATTAAGAAGAACAAAATAACACAACACTTAAAATGTTTCAGGCTCTGTTACAAACATTTTATAAATATTAATGATCTTGGGCCAGTGGTTCACTCCTGTAATCCCAACACTTTGGATTATTGTTGGGATCACGAAGTCAAGGGTTCGAGACAAGCCTGCTCCACATGGTGAAACCCAGTCTCTACTAAGAATACCAAAATTAGCTGGGCATGGTGGCACATGCCTGTAATCCTGGCTACTTGGGAGGCTGAGGCATGAGAATGGCTTGAACCTGGGAGGCGGAGGTTGCAGTGAGCCAAGATCATGCCAGTGCACTCCAGCCTGGGTGACAGAGCAAGACTCCACCTTGGAAAAAAAAGACATATTGATGATCTTAATTCTCCTAACTACTTTGCTATCATTTCCATTTTATAGATGAAGAAACTGAGGCACAGAAAGAAAGGTTAAATTATTTCATCAAAGTGCACAGCTAGTAAGTAGTAGACCCAGGATTCCAACTTGGCTTTTAATTGCTTCACTATGCTGTTTGCCACTTTTCTATACTACACCTGTATTAGTTAAACTAGTCATGAGTTTCCAGCATAATTGTATTGGTGTCTTTTTTTCACCTATGCTTTTTTTTTTTTTTTTTTTTTTTTAAATTAACCAGGCATGATGGCATGTGCCTGTAGTTCCAGCTTCTTGGGAGGCTGAGGTGGGAGGATCACCTAAGCCCAGGAGGTCAAAGGCTGCAGTGAGCCATAATCAGCCACTGCACTCCAGTCTGGGTGACAGAGTGAAACCCTGTCTCAAAACAAAAGAATTACCCTCCTTTTTTTTCTGTTAAAAAACAGAACAAAACAAAACCCTTTTTTTAAGACTTCGATTTATATCATGTTAGAGAAGACTGGAGTTTTAAAATGATGGATTCCTGACATAATTTATTCTCATTCCTTTTTACTCGCCTAAATTCCCTGAAGCAAAATACAGAAAAGGGAAAAATAAACTTGGGAGACAGCTCAGAGAGATCGAGAACAGCCAGAAGAAAAAGTTGCCAGGCTGCTGCCCAGCCCTGAAGTCACAAAGTAGACAAGTCTTTGACTTTTGTCATTCTACCAGCTGTGTAGGCTGCTTTATTTATAAGAACATAAACTGCTCTTTAACTGCATTTCACCTATTTTAAGAAATTTACATTCTGATGTTAGGAAATGAAAATTCACAGTGTAATTCTAAAATTTGATATGTAAAATAATTTTACTTTACAAATTTTACTGACTTCTATTTTTATATATTTTTTAGGAGCTAGACAAAATAGTGGCATATGAACTGAAAACTGGTGGAGTTTTACTACATCCCATATTCGGTGGAGGAAAAGAGAAGGATAAGTATGTTTACTGTTCAGAGATGATACTATAAACCTTGACTACATATAAAAATCATTCCATTTAAGAGCTAAATAGTATTTCATTGTACCTCAGAATTTTTTTAACCTTTCTCATTGCTATTCTTTGCTAAAGCCTACAAACTCATAAGCTCATAAGGTTGGAAGTAACAAGTAAAATCTAAAAATAATTTTAAAAATATCAAATTGATTAAAGTATTTTAAATTTTAATATGCCACTAAGAAAAAAAATTTTTATTGGGGTCTCACATGTTACCCAGGCTGATCTCAAAGTCTTGGGCTCAAGCAATCCTCCTACCTCAATCAATATGCCAGATTTTGAAGATGTGTAATACCGGTTGCCATAGTTTGTTTATGCTACTATAACAAAGTACCACCGAAATTTACTTCTTGTTCTGGAGGCTAGCAAGTTCAAGATTGAGGCACCAGGAGGATTGGTGTCTGGCGAGGGCTGCCCTCTGCTTCCAAGATGGCACCTACTTGCCACATCCTCCAGTGGGGTAGAACGTTGTGTCCTTACAAGGTAGAAGGGATGGCAGGGCAAGAGAACACTTCCTTCAACCTGCAGCCTTTTTATGAGGTTGCTAATCCCATTCATGAGGGTAGATCCCTAATGATTTAATCACCTCCCAAAGGCCACACCTCTTAAGACTGTTGCATTGGGGTTTAAGTTTCAACATGAATTTTGGAAGGGGCAGCATCATTCGAACAAACCGTAGCACCACTCATACACTGTGAGAGTACAGTTTGATACAATATTTCTGAAGGGTAATTTAGTGTGGTACTAATCAGAATTGTAGAATGGGCAATTTTTAGATCCAACAGTTCTTCTAGGTATGTGGTCATAGAGAAATTCTTCTTGTAGCCAGGCGCGGTGGCTCATGCCTGTAATCCCGGCACTCTGGGAGGCCGAGGCAGGCGGATCACCGGAGGTCAGGAGTTCGAGACTACCTGGCCAACATGGCGAAACCCCATCTCTACTAAAAAAAAACAAAAATTAGCGACGTTTGGTGGCAGGCGGCTATAGTCCCAGCTACTCAGGAGGCTGAGGCAAGAGAATTGCTTGAACCCGGGAGGCGGAGGTTGTAGTGAGCTGAGATCGTGCCACTGCACTCCAGCCTGGACGACAAGAGTGAGACTCAGTCTCAAAAAAAAAAAAAGAACTCCCAAGGACCGACTGCTGTGAAAAAGAAAAAAAAAAAGAAAAAGAAATTCTTCTAGGCATTTATCATACAGAAATATTTGCACATTGGTAAAAAGATATTCACCATTGCATTATTTGGTTTAGTGAATTTGTAAACAACTTAAATGTTCATGTACGTCATAAATATTTTCTAGACTGTATCTTCAAATTTACTTATGATCCTTTTCATTATGTCACATTTTTTTAATTTTTACGTAGTCATTCTGATCTTTATGTCTTCCAGATTTTATATTTTTCCCTTCCCAAAATTATAAAAAGAAATTTTTTCTTTCATTTCTTTTAGTACTTTTGGAGTTGTTTTTGTTTTACATATATAATCCATCTTTACTGTATTTTTGTGCATGCTTCAATGTTGGGATATTGATTGGAATTGCATTGATTGTATTGATGGATTTGGGGAGAATGGACGTGTTTACAGTATTGTATCTTCTCATCTAGGAACTTGATATTTGTTTCCATTTATTCAGATTTTCCTTTATGTCCTTAAGTAAAATTTCATAATTTTCTTCTAGTTAAGTTTATTTTTAGATGTTTCTTAGTACTAAGGAAATTGTTTATATATTCTCATGATGTTTTTAATGTATTTTCTTGATGTGGTCATGAAATTTATTGTTTATTTAATAGTCAAATTTGCTCTATTAGGTAAATATGCTTATTTTTTTAGTCCGGCTTCCCATCTACACTTTTCAATAAAGCATCCACATACACTGTCCTGGGAATACTATACCATGTTTCAGTGTAAAGCTCACCTTGTGATGAGATTGATTGAAAATAGGATCAGTATGGAATTTATGCTACAAGTAAGTATTAAGGTTAAAAACTTAACAATGGTAAATAAAGATCTGTATGTGTATATTCTGAATACATTTCTGTGGAATAGGAGTCAGGACATCTGGATGTGTAGTTCTGTTTGCCCACTAAGTAACCTGTGCTTTATATTTGCATTTCCTCAGATATAGAATAGGTATCAATGCCAGAACAACTTAGCACATGATTTTTATGAAGATGTAATTGGAATGTGGTGGCTGGGCTTGGTAGCTCATGCCTTTAATCCCAGCACTTTGGGAGGCTGAGGTGGGATGATTGCTTGAGGACAGGGGTTTGAGACCAGCCTGGGCAGCATAGTAAGAACCCATCTCAAAAAAATATTTTTTTAAGAAGCCAGGCATAGCAGCATGATTCTGTAACCCCAGCTTCTTGGGAGATGGAGACAGGAGATTGCTTGAGTCCAGGAGGTTGAAGCTGCAGTGAGCCATGATGGTGCCACTTCACACAACCCTGGGTGACAGAGCGAGACTGTCTCAAGAGAAAAAAAAATAAAAATCATGGGGATTAATGTAAAACATACTTATGCATATGAATTTGTGTTCTGCGTTATGTTAAGGATGAAATGCCACTCTAAACTCTTTTCAATAGAAAAAAGTCAACTAATATAAATGATGTTTATTTTTGCTGTTGCTAAATTTTGCAATGTATTTTAAGTGAGTTTTAGTGTGAATAGTTGCAGTTTAGTAGCTGAGAGTGGAAACCAAATGTTTGTTTTTTCTTTGACAACATTCTTAGAGGAAGGTAAAAAAATAGTAATTTTTTAAAGCATTTTAAGTTTGCTTTAAAGTTTCTTTAATCTTTCTGTTCTTCACTTTGCCTTTTTTTTTTTTTTTTTTTTAATATGGGATTTCACTCTGTGATGCAGGCTGAGAATGCAGGGGTGCAATCACTGCTCACTGCAGCCCTGACCTCCAGGCTCAAGGGATCCTCTCATCTCTCTCAGCCTTCCGAGTTGCTGGGACTACAAGCATGCACCATCACACCCGGCTAATTTGTATTGTTTGTAGAGATGGAGTTTTGCCATGTTGCCCAGTCTGGTATCCAACTCCTGGGCTCAAGCTGGCCACCTACTGTTGTCTCAAAGTGCTAGGATTACAGGTGTGAGCCATTGCACCCAGCCTTTAGAATAAAGAACAGAAACATTAAATGATAGATGGTCCATAAAGAGCTACTCAAGCTTTGGAGTGTATAAATCCTGATGAGTATTATTAGCTGCTTAATTTCTAGTTTCTGTGTAAACTCATGGCGCAATCAATTATAGGTATTATATATTATTCTTACTATAATTCTTAATAAACAGTATTATTTATTCAGTATGTCATTAGCATTCAATAATGTTTATATGAAGAATGGTTTTGTATTCTGGCTGCTTATATCTTTGCATATTTCTATTGCTGGTAGTCTTTAGAATAATACATGTAATAAGTAGTGAAATTATTATCTTCTATAATTGACTCCAATAAAGATGTAGTGCAAAGTAAGTATTCTATATAAATGAAAGGAATGTGTTATAGGAACTTACTAAATGATAATTTTATTCTTACAGGTTTTCAATAAACTGCTAAGTCTGGCTAGTACTGCCTCATCTCAGAAGTTCCAGTCACATATGTGGAGTCAGATGTTGGTTTCCACATCTGGGTTTTTGAAATCCATTTCAAATGTCTCTGGCAAAGATATTCAGCCATTAATAAAGCAGTGGGTGTATCCTTTCAATAACATTTCAGCAAAGTGGGGAAGGGGATAAGGCATGTGTGCAGGGGGGAGATGGAAGAAGAGAGACTCGAGGGGCCTAAAGGGAGTATGAACTGTTGATATTTCTAAACAGTGGTAGAAATAGTGATGAACTGTGGATTGTTTCATCTAAGATGCCTACTAGACGTTAAGGTGCACACATATATGTTTATAATTGTAAAGTTTGGCATATTTTAAAGTACTTTCTAGTGAATAAAGAATATGTGAGTAAAAAAATTGGTTTGATGGTAGTATAGGTAAGTAATCTACCAGACAGGCCTGTAGGATTACTTGTGAGGTGCAGCAGTTTGCTGACTTGTGGATGTGGTTGGGGTTGGCACAATTTGAGTGATATCTTGGAATTTTGCAGTCATTGCATTTTTCATTTCAAAACACCATTATATTAATAACCTTGTATAATGGTTCTGCTTCTTTCAAAACACAAATTTGTCAATGTTTCAGAAATTATATTTAAATCTGGGAAAGCATTTTTCACAAGAATTTTGAATACTTTGCCACTTGGTTTACAATAGAGTATGCTCTCAAACTTTGAACTGGTGGGAATGCATTTGAAAATTTATCAATACCATGATGAATTACTTGTTTCGCACACATTCGTTTCAGTATGTAAAATTTCCTTTACAATTCTTCAGAGATCAGAGTGGAGTGGTAAAATTTTATGGAAGTTTTGCATTTAATAGAAAACGAAATGTCTTGGAATTGGAAATAAAACAGGACTATACATCTCCTGGAACTCAGAAATATGTGGTAAGTGTTTTTCCAAAATGGCCTTTGTATTGCTATCGCCTCAGTTTCAATATAAGAGGAATTTAGGGGCCGGGCGCGGTGGCTCAAGCCTGTAATCCCAGCACTTTGGGAGGCCGAGGCGGGTGGATCACGAGGTCAAGAGAACGAGACCATCCTGGTCAACACGGTGAAACCCCGTCTCTACTAAAAATACAAAAAATTAGCTGGGCATGGTGGCGCGTGCCAGTAATCCCAGCTACTCAGAAGGCTGAGGCAGGAGAATTGCCTGAACCCAGGAGGCGGTGGTTGCGGTGAGCCGAGATCGCGCCATTGCACTCCAGCCTGGGTAACAAGAGTGAAACTCCGTCCCAAAAAAAAAAAAAAAAAAAGGGAACTTAGGGATGGGTTACTAGTTAGAAATTAATTAGATTTTGTTTGCAGAGAATGAATTGAGAAAACATTGACTTTGTCAAAGACGAGACGACGAGGTACAGAGATTTCAGGCGACTCAGAATCTTCCAGTTGCCCCCTTCGGCACCTATTACCTATCTAGATCTGCAGATACTCATTTTGTGTAATATCATTTTATATCTTGATCTATATTTCTCTGTACACATAGCATACATATTGATTTTTTTTTTTTAATCACGTCTCTGAACAGTATGTTGTTGTTTTTAAAGGGACCACTTAAAGTGACAGTGCAGGAGTTAGATGGATCCTTCAATCATACATTGCAAATTGAAGAAAACAGCCTTAAACATGATATACCCTGCCATTCCAAAAGCAGAAGGTAGGCATTAAATAATAACTATAAACTGAAAGTTAAACTACAAATCTCACAGACTAAAATGCCAAAATAAAATTTCTATTGTATACCTAATTTTTTTAGACAGTCTTGCTCTGTTACCCAGGCTGGAGTGCAGTGATGCTATCTCAGCTCACTGCAACCTCTGCCTGCCAGTTCAAGCAGTTCTCCTGCCTCAGCCTCCCAAGTAGCTGGGATTACAGGTGACTGCCACCATGCCCAGCTAATTTTTATATTTTTGTTAGAAACAGGATTTCACCATGTTGGCCAAGCTGGTCTCGAAGTCCTGACCTCCAGTGATCTGCCTTTCTCGGCCCCCCAAAGTGCTGGGATTACAGGCATGAGCTACCATGCCAGCCTGTGTATACCTAATTTTCTAGGTAGAGAACATGTTATCTAGTACCTTTTTATCTTCCTTTTATTTCCAATTTATATTACCAAACATTCTTTGTTTGCTTGCTTTCTTGATGACATTTTTATCTTTAGAATTAAATAACAATATTTGGCTGGGCATGGTGGCTCACACCTGTAATCCCAGCACTTGGGAGGCCAAGGTGGGCAGATCACTAGGTTAAAAGATCGAGACCATCCTGGCAACATGGTGAAACCCTGTCTCTACTAAAATACAAAAAATTAGCCAGGCGTGGTGGTGTACATCTGTAACTCCAGCTACTCGGGAGGCTGAGGCAGGGGAATTGCTTGAACCCAGGAGGCAGAGGTTGCAGTGAGCTGAGATCATACCACTGCACTCCAGCCTGGCAATAGAGCCAGACTCTGTCACAAAAAGAAAAAAAAAAAAAAAAAAAAAAGAAGAATTAAATAAATTTTAACATTTAGGTTTGAGAATCCTTATTTTGTTGGATGGTTGAGGCCGAGGGGCTAGAATGGAAGTTTGAGTTTTTGGTGCTAGAAAAAAGTTCAAGACAAATAGCTCAGGTTCATCCTTATTAGTCTTGTTGGATTAATACCTACAGGAAATATTAGGAAAGTGATGATTGAAAGGAAAGAGCTGAATATGTTATGCAAAGCCTCTGCGTACTATTTTTTTTTGCTTACTATTTTTTTTCTTTTTTCTCTATATCACCATGCCACTTCAGAACATTCTTGATGTCTTTCAAAGACAAATTGCCACTTTTCTTTAATATATTTTTCATTAACCACTTATTTAAACAACAATTAGTATGTACTCTGAATAGTGAGAGATGAGAACATTTCTGTACTTTGCTGGAGAAAGATGAACCTTCAGGAACGGAAGTTTTATTATATTCATGACTGTGTTTAGTTCACTCAGATAAATGAGAGTGTCTGTGTCTGTTGATTTTGAAGTCCTTTAGAGAACTGGATCCTGAAATCTTCTTATAGTCATTCTTAACTCTGAGAAACTTCTTTTCTTAATGCAGAGTGAGATTCTCAACTTCTTTTTGTCCTATCTACCTTGGAAATTGGTAACATTTGATTGCTATCCTTAGGTTTTTTTTTTCTCTGTAATAACAGAATGTCGATTGGGTATTCTTTGATATGAAGAACATAGGAGGACTTTTCTCCGTTCCTCTCTTTATTTGCCCTTCCCCAGTTATCATAAAAATATTTGCTTTTGCTTTTGCTTATCTTGTATCTTGTATGTATTAATTGGTTCTACATATTAATCAATGCTCTTAAGATATTTTATTTGTTAATTATTTCATATATGACAGAACCTTCCATATATGCAGCAGACAGCTCAGAATTATTCGTATCCCATTTCAAGCCGGATCCTTTTACCATTTAAGAGTTTCCTTTATTGATAGATCTCCTTTTCTATATAAAATTGCAGCTACCAGTTCTTGAAATATATGTTTTAGGTTGACATTTTATTATATATTTATGCTTCTTGTTAACATTTGATCAGCAAAATAATTTGATATTTACTTCATTTCCTCCAGCTTTAAAATAAGCAGACTTTGTTCTATTTAAATTTTGTTACATTTGACAGCTGTTTTTCCTAAGGATAGCTTTCCAAGTTGTGTGAAATCCTTTATTCGAACTTTAACTGCTGTTAATCTCCATTCAGAATTAGAAGTCTCATAATTTTCCAACCTCCTTTTTCTTAAATGTAGGAATAAAAAGAAAAAAATCCCACTAATGAATGGAGAAGAAGTTGACATGGATCTTTCTGCAATGGAGTAAGTTAGTTAACTTAAATATAAGGTTATAATATTTTGTGCATTCTCATTTGTCTCATTTGTTATGCATATGTAAAAGCATATAACTGTCCTCCAAGTGAGTGCTTTAAAATTTTTTCAATTTAATAGAAACCCTATGTTCAAAACAAATTTTATGTAAAATCATATCAAAGAGATAAAAGTAAGTCTGCTAGGGCCTAGGTAAAATTAAGGGGAAATGCATTATAGTTGAGGGGTGGGCACAAGTTTAAGTAGGCAGATTTCTTGTTCTCTCTTGGTAGCATCTAAAGCAGTGGCATCAAACTATAACCTGCATATGAATCAGTTGGGGACTGTCCTAAAATGCGGTTTCTGATCCAGTACTACACTAGTGAGGCCTGATAGTTTGTATTTCTCATGAACTCCCAGGTGATATTCTTTGTCTTTAGAACAAAGCTCTGGGGTGCCTTAAGTCTCCCTATGCTTGTAAAACGATTTAAAAACCACTGTTTTAAACTTTATGTGATAATATTTATTGATTGACAGTGTTTTATTTTAAATATAATACAGCTCAAACTTTCTAATTTTGCCCAGTCTGTAGCTGTATGCTTTTTTATAAAATCTCTGTAATTATTTACTAACTTGATTGATAGATGATTATTACTGTTTATATATAGATTAAGTTCATTTGCTCTTCAAGATCAGTGTTAATTTTTTTTTGAGACAGAGTCTTGCTCTGTCTCCCAGGCTGGAGTGCAGTGGTGATGTCTCGGCTCACTGCATGCCTGGCTGCATGCCGCCATGCCTGGCTAATTTCTGTATTGTTAGTGAATAGAATTTGGGGTCTTGCCATGTTGGCCAGGCTGGTCTTGAACTCCTGACCTCAAGTGATCCACCCACCTCCGCCTCCCAAAGGGCTGGGATTACAAGCGTAAGCCACTGCACCCGGCTTAGATCAGTGTTAATTTTGATTTTTCCATAGCAAGTACCTTGCCTGTAGTAAAAACCCAATAATATGTGCTGAATTGAATTAATATTACAGGTGGTATTCTTCGGATGAAGGTGTTGACGTAGACTAGATTTTTTAAACTATGTTTGTTGCTTTGAGAAGTACATGAAAATAAATTTGTGATATGCCTCCAAGTTATGATTTCAGAACTTGCTTGATAAAGGTGATCATGAGTCTAGTATTTTTAAAAAGTTTTAAGTCATCTGAACAAATTAAGAAATTCGTCTCTTCTTTTCTTTTTTTTTTTTTTTTTTGCATCATATACTCACAAATCAAAATCATCAAAGTAATTTCAGATGGGAAATGAGAGATTCAGTGTCCTTTGTAAAAGATGATTAATATTTTCTTGAAGATCTTTTTAGCAAGATTGATATAGATCAGACATGGTGAGAAAGTTGATATATGTTAAACATAATGAGAAATTTGTCAGTGCAATTTAAAAAAATGAATACAGTAAAACTTCAGGCAGTTTTGAATATTATGTCTTGGTTAATAAATGCTTTGTATTTATTTTCTAAATTAAAAAGAAAATTACATTTTCTTTCAGTGCCGATTCCCCTTTGCTGTGGATAAGGATAGACCCAGATATGTCAGTACTGAGGAAGGTAGAATTTGAGCAAGCTGATTTCATGTGGCAGTATCAACTCCGCTATGAGAGAGATGTTGTTGCACAACAGGAATCCATTTTGGCTTTGGAAAAGTTCCCTACTCCAGCGTCTCGGCTTGCACTGACTGATATTTTAGAACAAGAGCAGTGTTTCTACAGAGTAAGAATGTCAGCTTGCTTTTGTCTTGCAAAGGTGAGATTATGTATAGCAGAAAGAAGACAAGATGACTATCATATGTATTTCTTTATATCTCTGAAAATGAATTAAAATTCACGTAGTCTTTAAATTTATTTGGTAGCCAATTCTTTGAAAGCTTTTGCCAAATGCCTTTAAATTAATAGGACTATTTTGAAAGAAACCCGTTTTGACCTGAAAACAGATATGCAGAATAGTTTTATAATTGTCAAAATGAAATTAGATTTTCACTGTTTTGTTGAATTAACCACATTTTTAAAGCAAATAATATATTTGGTGAGCAATTCCTTGGTTTGAGTGTTGTTTTATATTGTAGCACATGAAATCTCTCTGTGTGTGTGTGTGTGTGTGTGTGTGCATTTTTTTTAAAAATAAAGATGAGATCTCAGTGTGTTGCCCAGGCTGGCCTCAAACTCTTGGGCTTCAGTGATACTCCTACTTCAGCCCCCGAAACAGCTGGGATTATAGGCATGTGCCACCATGCTCCATTGTGCTTGGCTGATTGGTTAATCTTAATTATTCCACTGTAGTAATCATTTCACGTTGGTTTGGATTTAGGAATCCATATTAGTGATAAGTAACTTAAAATGGTAGACTCTATATTATTCTAGGAAAGTTAATTAAGAACACCAAATGTATTTCTTTAGATGCAAATTATCTGAAGGTAGAACAAACAAAAACCAAAAAAATGCAGACAAAATTAGGGCCAGAAATAATGTTTTCCAGGTATTTTTTAAAAACTTGATAATAGGTTCATTTTCTGTTTGGTGACTCTTGCCTTTCTCACTGTTAAATCCATTTGTCGTATATTTTAACAACTTAATAATGATTTTGATTTACTTTTAATGATAATAAGTGAGTAGTTGAATTCTTATGTTGTCAGATATATGAGAAAGCAGTGATTTTCTTTGATAATCATCTGTAGAGGATATAATTTCATTGTTTCTATAAACTTTTTGTGATTCCTGTATGCTAAGATCTTAGCAGGTCCATAAAATTGTAGAATATGTTTAATCATAATTTCATTTTTTTCAGGCGTGATTTTTATATACCCTAAAAATATCAATTGCAAAATATAGGGTAAAGCAAGATACACTTTGGTAAAGCATGCTTATAGGCATAAATGGTAGCACTGCATTTGGCTTCTTGTTCAGTTAGGGTAGATTGAAAAATGCTGTTTAAAATTCATGATGTTTCTGTCTGATAAGTTTAAAATATTAGAATTATATCTGCCTAAATTAATAAAGACAAACTATTCAAAATATAAGTCTTTTGCATACATATTTTCCTAAACTTAATACTGTCATTTGGAAATTAATTTGTAGAAAATAATTATAAGTACATGTAAGAATTTTTTGGCTGGGTGCAGTGTCTCACGCCTGTAATCTCAACAACCCCGAGCCGAGGCAGGAGTTCAAGACCAGCCTGGCCAACATGGTGAAACCCATCTCTACTAAAATTACCAAAATTACTCAGGTGTGGTGGTGCCCACCTGTAGCCCCAGCTACTCAGGAGGCTGAGGTGGGAGAATCGCTGGAGCTCAGGAGGCAGAGGTTGCAGTGAGCTGTGATCACACCACTGCGCTTTAGCCTGGGCAACAGAACGCAACTCCATCTCCAAAAAATTAAACGAGAAATGAATTCTATTCTTGAGACGTAGTCTCTCTGTCACCCAGGCTGGAGTGCAATAATGCCATCTCAGGTCACTGCAGCCTCCCTGCCCTGGGTTCAAGCAGTTCCCCCACCTCAGCCTCCCAAGTAGCTGGGATTACAGGCACCCACCATCATGCCTGGCGAAATTTTTTTGTATTTTTGTAGAGACGGGGTTTCAGCATGTTGGCCAGGCTGGTCTTGAACTCCCAACTTCAGGTGATCCACCCTTGATGGCCTCCCAAAGTGCCGGGATTATAGGCATGAGCCATGGGGCCTGGCCAAAAAAAGAATTTTTTTGCAGGGTGAGTTTGTATAGTTTCTTGGAAATGGTGATAAAATACTACATTGTTTTAAATTTCTGAGAATTAAAGTTGTTGAAAAACCAATCCAGTTGTAGTATTGATAACTTTTAAGAAGCTGTTTTATTTTAAAGTGTGTTTGCATTGGTAATAGAAACTACTTTGTTTTCTAATTATTTGCAGATTGCAAATTCAATGGTGAGCACATGGACAGGACCACCAGCCATGAAGTCACTCTTTACTAGGATGTTTTGTTGTAAAAGTTGTCCAAATATTGTGAAAACAAACAACTTTATGAGCTTTCAAAGTTATTTTCTGCAGAAGGTACAGTTTACTTTCTAATTTTCTCATGGTTTTTATACATTTCAGTTTAAGTTGGAGACTGTTCAAATAATAGGTGTGTTTACTTTCTTTGCCTCTGTTCTTTTTTTGCTTTTAAAATTTTTTCCAAAGTTTGATTAAGTGATTATAGATTTTGTGATCTGTGTGCAAGTAACTCACTGGCCACATTAATATTAAAGTGGCCAGAAATGTTTAATTTGCCTTTTTGGTTGGTTACATGAGGGATGGAGAAGTGAGTAAGCGCTTCTGTCATCTGTTCCAGAATGTGGACAGCACATCTGAGGCAGAGACGACACGGTATAGAGCTCTAGTTTTAGTCCCAGTCCACCACTCACCAGCAGTTTTCACATGCACAAGTTTCTTAACCTTCTTCACCTCAGTTTATTCCATTGTAAATTATCTTTTTTAGAACGAAGATCAAGTATGTAGTGTTTTATACTAAACTTATCATATGGTAAGTTTTCTACAATTAGAATTTTTAGAAAGTGGTGGTGTGCTGTGGTATGGTTAGAGTCATTGTTTTAGGAAAGGGTATGGGAATGACAGGATGATCAGCATTTGGGCAATTTGAATATCATTCATACTGTCTTTTGAGTAATTTTATAATAGGGTGGAGATCAGATTATCTAGATTAAACTAGAAAGGAGGAGTGAAGTTGAATTAGAGAGAACGCTCTAGTAGCAGTTCTACTAGAAGTAGAGAGGAGCCATCCTCCTTTCTGACCATTTTAGGGGGTATAGTTATTTTGAGTAAGAAGACGGGTTAGTCCATATTTCCCCATGTGCTAGGGACTAAGATGTCTATTTATCTGTAGTTCTGCCTAGAATTTAATTTTCTTTGTTTTACGGATAGAGTTAACCAGTGTGTTTAAGTCATGTTTCTATTTCCTTAATAATGTTGCCTGTGAAAATTTGGAAAGGGAAAAGTTAGGCTGGATTTCAGATGATTTATCATTTTTTCTTTAGAGAGAGCTAATGAAGCCTATTCTTTCATGATCTTACTCAAAGATACAAGAAAGGATACTATGTTGAAGATGAAGCAAGGTTGAGAAAAGGACTTTTTGGGTTTGTTTTATACAGATGAAGAAGAAACTTGAGGCATGTGTGACACAGGGAAAATACCCAGTGGAGAGGGAGAGATGGAATAGTCAAGGGGAGAAAGTAAATAGAGAAGGTTGAGCAAGTTCTGGAAGTGTTAGAGGGTGGGGCAGCATAAGGAAGAACATTTTAGAAAAGATAAGAACATTCCTTTTTTTGAGGCAGGTGGAATGTAGATTGAAAACAAGTGAAAGATGTCGAGGGGAATGTTAGGCAAGTTGAAATTTATTTATGATAGAGGGAAAAGAGGAAGGATTGCACAGCAGTATTGGGGTGCCTTTTGAGAGTAGAAGTCAGGATGTATTTGCAGTAAATCTAGTCAGCAGGACAGAATCTGGATGATCCACGTTTTGGGAAAGGTAGTAATGGTGTGATCAAAGAAGTCTGTGGCATCTTGTAATTTTATTTTTAAGAACTGCTCTGTACTACCATTTCACGAATTTATGATACAGAAGCAAGTCAATTTCTGTGTCTGCCTGATGTATCTGTCTCATGATGCCACTGGGCTTTCATGTATCTTAGGTCAGTGTTTCAAAGTGGAGTTATGAACCATTAGTGGAAGAGATCATGAGACCAGTATAGTGTTTTTTTGTTTGTTTTGTTTTGTTTTTTGAGACGAAGTTTTGCTCTTGTTTCCCAGTCTGGAGTGTGGTGGCACAATCTCAGCGCACTGCAACCTCTGCCTCCCAGTTTCAAGTGATTCTCCTGCCTCAGCCTTCTGAGTAGCTGGGATTACAGGCGTGAGCCACAGCGCCTGACCAAAATCAGTGTAGTTTTTGTTTTTGTTTTTAAATAAAAGGGAACAGAATGGGTAGTATTGAGGATATGGTGTTTGGGGTTTACTTTTAAATTTGTATACATTGCATCTAAAGTGTGTATGTGTGTTAGGTTGTGTTATAAGATGTATTTTTTCCTGTTACTGTCAAAAAAAATCGGAAAGTCAGTGCTTTTATACCAGTTTACCTTTCTGATAATAATTCTAGTGGACAGGAGAGAGAGATTGGTGCCTAAATGAAACTTGAGTCTCAAAGGGCAGAAAAGGCATAGGACGGGTATTTCTATGGAAAAGAGCCTTTCCCTCAGTTGTTCCTACAGCACTAACACTGACTGTTGTTGCTCCTGTTACCTCTGCTTTTTCAAGCAAGAAAAAGAGCCATCTTTCCTTCTCACCATTTTAGAGGGTATGGTTATTTTGAGTAAAAAGAGGGGTTAATCCCTATCTCCCCATGTGCTCAGGACTAAGATGTCTTTTCATCTGTAGTTCTGCCTAGAATTGAATTCACTTTGTTTTACTAATAGAGTTAACCAGTGTGTGTAAGTCATGTTTCTACTGTCTTAAAAATGTTGCCTATGAAAATTTGGAAAGGGGGAAAAGTTAGGCTGGATTTTAGATAATTCACATTTTTTTCCCTTAGGCTGAGGATTGGGTGTTCCATAAGGATTAGGTGTTGGGAGACTCAGTTTGTTCTAAGACTGAAGATTGACTCCGTCTACTTAACATCGTTTTAATCCTGAAAATGGTTTTGAGGAAATGAGGCTCCTACTCAGTAGGCAACTAGCTAAAGACACCTAGCACAGAAGGTAGTAGAGCTTAGGAGTTGAATAATGTTAAAGTATTATACTTTAATATGCTAAAGTCTATACCTTTTCCACTGTATCACACAGAAGTAATTCTAAAATCTATGTCTTTCCCACTGTATCGCATAGAAGTGAAATTACATAATTTACATTACATATATTTCCTCCAGCAAATGAGGGCCAAGGCCCATAGCCTACAGAGTGGTGTGCGGTCATGCAGCTCTTCCCTTGGTTTCCTGTCCAGGCCTTCTCCTGTGTTAGAATGCTTTGTGATACGTTGTCAGTGGAAGGGGTTGGGGTCTGGGGGTGTTAGGCTCCATCTAGATGCCTATTTCAGCCCAAAAGTAACCCTTTTCTATATATAGTTTGAATTGTAGTAACAAAAAGTTAGGTTATGTGCTTTTAAAAGTTCTTTTTTTTTTTCTTTTGTAGACTATGCCGGTTGCGATGGCTTTATTAAGAGATGTTCATAATCTTTGTCCTAAAGAAGTCTTAACGTTTATTTTAGACTTAATCAAGTACAATGACAACAGGAAAAATAAGGTGAGGTACTTTTATTTTTTTATCGTCTACAACAGTTTTCTTAGAAAGGCAAGATAATTTTCTTCATAAATATTATAAAACTACCCAGGGATATTTTGTTTCTAAATAAGCATTTAGTCTATAAAAATTATTGTTGAGTTGATGGTACTTGAAATTTCTAAAGATAGAGGCATATAAACATGATTTATTAGAATAACCAGTGGATAAAAACAAGGATTAATTTTTAAATGTTCTTCAAACCTCTTGTAGTGTGGAGAGTGTAGTGCATCAAATTTGGGGGCATCAGCTAAAACTTGGTAAAATCTGACAGCACAACTTTATTTATATTGATTTATTTTTTGTTCGCCTAGTGATACCTAGAAAAGATTTCTCTGTTGGGATTAACTTATTTATTGATTCATTTTACCTTTTTCTTTTTTCTTTTCTTTACCATTGTGTCTGTATTCATTTATTTAGCAAATAGCAATTGGGTGTCATGCCTCAAAAATTATTTCATCCTACTTGTTATTAGTCCAACAGTCAGCAAATGTTTTTAAGAATATATGCTATCCTAGACAGTGTCGCATGTTAACTGGAATGAAAAGATGGTTGGTGTCTTAATGAACTTTATCTTTTCATTAAACAGCTGCTCTATATTAGTCTGATTTTGCACCATTGAGGACACAACCTAATAGGGAAATCAAACAAGTAAACAGTTAACAGTCACGTGTGATAATTGCTACAGTGGAAGTATTTATGATTGCCTAGGGGAATGCAAAATATAGTCATCTCTCCATATTAATGGGGGGGATTGGTTCCAGGACCCCTTCTTGGATACCAGAATCTACAAATGTTGAAGTCCCTTATGTAAATGGTATAATATTTGCATATAACCTATTCACATTCTCTCATATACTTTTAATCATTTCTAGATTACTTATAATACCTAATACAATGTAAACGCCATACATACCATTGTTAATACTGTATTGTTTATCGAATAATGACAAGGAAAAAAGTCCGTACATGTTTAGTACAGACACAACCTTCCTTTTTCTTCCCCCAAATATTTTTGATCTGAGGTTGGTGGAATTCACAGGTGCAGAATCCATGGATATGGAACCCATATATACAGAGAGGGTCAGCTATAATGTCTACTTTGAAGGACGCAGCAGGAGATTGAGGGAAGCTTTATATAGAAGTAGTGACCCTCAAACTGAGTCACAAAGATGAATAGGATTTTTCCAGAATATAAATAAGACCAGTCTAGGAATATCGTTCTAGACAGAAGGAACAGCACATACAAAGACACAAGTAAGTGTTAGGATAAGTCATATTGATGAAACTTTTAACAAAACATTACAACAGTAAAAAAAAAAAAAAAAAAAAAAGTCACAGGCATGTTTATTAAAACATGACTTTTTAATGATAATCAAAACAGTACTGTCTCTTTAGTTTAAGTAACATTCAAATAATTTGAGCTTAAAGACGCCTTTAAAAATTAACATTTAAAAAAATACATTAATTCGTTTTTTTTCTTGCCATCTTTTAATACCCTTGACTTCATCTCTGATAGGCTCTGGTCATTGGTCTCTCCCAGAATAAGGCATATTAGAGATATAGGAGTCCAAGGTTATCTTTTAGTTGCCTTTGTCATGATAGTTCAACCATTTTTTTTTCTTGGCTCACTTCAACCTTCACCTCTCAGGTTCAAGCGACTCTCCAGCCTCAGCCTCCCAAGTAGCTGAGATTACAGGCATGCGCCACCACGCCGGGCTAATTTTGTATTTTTAGTAGAAACGGGCTTTCACCATGTTAGCCAGGCTGGTCTTGAACTCCTGAACTCGTGATCTGTCTACCTTGGCCTCCCAGAGTGCTGGGATTATAGGCATGAGCCTCTGCGCCCGGCCAGTCCAACCTTTTTTAATGAGTAGCAAGCTCATTTATGCATACCAATTTTAGGAAGCATGTGTTTTCTATTCTTTTATTATTATTTTGCCCAAATGGCTCAGATTTTCATGTAATTTAACACCAAATTAGAATAATAAAACAACTGGTAACTAAAACTAGTAACACTAAATTAAAATAAGTTATCTAGTGTTTTATTTCACTCAATACATAGGTGGCTAAGTAGTTTCCAGGGAAATTTTATCTGACGGATGGTATAACTGGCTATCTTTCTCATTGTTTCCCTTAAAAGTTCATAATTTTAGGACCACATTAAAGTTTTTTCAGCAAGCAACCTTTGGTTTTTTTCTTTTTCTTTTTTTATTTTTTTGAGATGGAATCTTGCTCTGTCACCCAGGCTGGAGTGTGCTAATGCGATCTCAGCCCACTGCAACCTTCACCTCCCAGGTTCAAGCAATTCTTTTGCCTGTGCCTCCCAAGTAGCTGGGACTACAGGCCCACGCCACCACACCCGGCTAATTTTTGTATTTTTAGTAGAGATGAGGTTTCACCATATTGGCCAGGCTGGTCTCGAACTCCTGACCTGTGATCTGCCCGCTTCAGACTCCCAAAGGGTTAGGATAACAGGTGTGACCTGCTGCACCCAGCCAATACTAGGTTTTGATGATACTGAGATAAATAACTTATGATCTTTCCAGTTACTTAATCTATAGTGAAAGAAATATACAAAAGAACAATATTTTTAATGAGATAAGTATTATGACATTAGGTTAATTAACCTGCTCAGGAAGTGCTTGGAAGGATTAACCCAAATTAAGGATGAGGAAGCCAGAAAAGGCTTCCTGAGAAAGGCTGAATCTAGAAAGAGCTGTAAATTGATGAGGTGAAAGGATATCAAAGAGGGGGGATTACTTGAAGTCAGGAGTACGAGACCAGCCTGGCAAACATGGTGAAACCTTCTACTAAAAATACAAAAATTAGCCAGGCATGGTGACGCATGCCTATAATTCCAGCTACTTGGGAGGATGAGGCAGAAGAATTGCTTGAACCCAGGAGGAGGAGGTTGCAGTGAGCTGAGGTTGCACCATGGCACTCCATCCTGGGCGACAGGGCGAGAACCTGTCTCACAGAAAGGAAAAAAATGGCTACTTCTGCTTGCTTTTATTTTTCATTTGCGTACTATATCTTTTTCCATCCCTTTACTTTGAGTCTGTAGGTATCTTTTGTCATTAAGGGTGTCTCTTCTAGGCAGGAGATGGTAGTGTCTTGTTTTTTATGCAACATACCACTCATATATTTGTTTTTTAGAGATGGAGTCTTGCTCTGTCATCTAGGCTGGAGTGCAGTGGCGCAATCTCGGCTCATTGCAGTCTCCGCCTCCCAGGTTCAAGCAATTCTCCTGCCTCAGCCTCTTGAGTAGCTAAGACTACAGGTACACACTGCCATGACTGGCTAATTTTTTGTATTTTAGTAGAGACAGGGTTTCAGTGTGTTGCCCAGTCTGGTCTCGAACTCCTGAGCTCAGACAGTTTACCTGCCTCGGGCTCCCAAAGTGGTAGGATTACTGGCATCAGCCACCATGCCCAGCTCGTCTATATCTTTTAAGGGGAGCATTTAAAACATTTCTGTTCAAGGTTAATATTGAAATGTGAGGTTTTCTTCCTGTCATAGTGTTGTAGGTAGTTACCCTGGAGACTTAATTGTATAATTATAGGATCTGTGGGCTTTCTGCTTGCATGTGCTTTTATGCTGGTGAGTGTCATCCTTTCATTTCTGTGTTTTGAACTCCTTTGAGCCCTTATTATAGGTCTGGTCTAGTGGCGATGGATTCCCTTTGATTTGCTTATCAAAAATAAGGAGTTTTTCAATAGGTAGAGGAAGGAGAAAGGTGCCCTGGGAATAAGAACACAGCATTAACAAAAGTACAAGATGCATGAGAATGCAGTGTGTTAAAGGAAGAGAAAAGTTACTAATGTACCTTCATGGTAAAGGGGTACAAAGCTGGAGGCAGTGGACTTGACCAAGCCAAGAGTCTGTAAATGGCCTGCTTGATGGTGTATGGGAATCCTCAGGCAGTAACAGCTGAGTTGTGGCAGAACATGCAGTTGGTGGGAACCCCAGGATTGATCACGGGCCTGTCAGCGCGGGCTCTCAGAAGGGCTCCAGCTGGCAGCTGAAACAGTTGGGTGGGAGCAGGGCAGCCATGCTGCTGTTCTTTTGCTGAGGAAGGAGTTTGTCTGGGAAAGACTTTATATCATTTTTTCATCATTTATGAAGCTTAGCTTGGCAGGATATAGAATTCTTGGCTGGCATTTTTTTTTTTTTTAATTTTAAAAGGCAAAAAATAGACCCCCAATCTCTTCCAGCTTGTATGGTTTCTGCTGAGAAGTCTGATGGGCTTTTCTTTATAGGTGGTTTGACACTTCTCTCTAGCTGCCTTTAAGATTTGTCCTTTTATGTTGACCTTGGGTAGTCTGGCCACTTACATGCTTTTGTGAGGTTTGTGTTGTATAGTTATCTCCCAGTTATCTGGATTATTTTGTATCTGGATATCTGTCTCTGTAGCGAGATGGGGGAAATTTTCCTGAATTATTTCTTCAAATATGCTTTCCAAACTTCTTGCTTTTTTTTTCTGCCTTAGGACTGCCTATAAGTTATAGGTTTGGTCACTTTATGTATTCCATATTTCCTGATGACTTTGTCCATTTAAAAAACTTTTTTTTTCTGACTGGGTTAATTCAAAAGACCAGTCTTCAAGCTCTGAAATTCTTTCTTCTGCTTGGTCTAGTATGTTGTTAAAACTTTGTGTTTTGAAATTCTTTAAGTGAATTTTACATTTCCGAAAGTTCTATTTGTTGCTTTTTAAAAAATACGGCTATCTGGTCTTTCATGTCCTGAATTGTTTTTTTAGTTTATTTGTGTTGGTTTTCAACTTTCTCTTGTGTCTCACTGGGCTTCCTTACAATCCATATTTTGAGTTCTTTATGTTAGGATCCAGTGATACGAGAGCTAGTGTGTCACAACATTCTGTTTCTTCGTGGTGCTGGAGTTGTGCTCATTCCTTCTCATCTTATATACTTTCGTTTGGATGGGATTCCCCCTCCCCTCCCACC